TAGCTGTTCACCCTGAGAGCCCTGGGCAACTAAAGAATTAGAGCTGGAAGCTGGGTTGTCAGTGGGCCAAGGGCCAAGGGAACAGAAAGGGGAAGAGAGGTAGGAAGGAAAGAGAGGGAGTGGGGGAGGACAGAGGGAAGCACAGTCAACTTGGTGTCACCTGCTACTCTAATGGGCCATTATGTCTCCATTCCTAATTAGTTCATGGACAGGATGGGAGAGGGGACGGAAGAGGGGGTGGACGATTCCACTCACACGCCCTCACACTACCGCCAGAGCTTAGAATGGCTAATGTCCACACCACTCCATGCCTCCTCCTGCCTCTCCCTCACACGAACACCACTGCTGCCTGCCCCAGCACCATGCCCAAACCCAGCTTCTCCATCATCAGAGCTCCTTCAGTTATTTCTGCCTTACCATTTGCAGTGAGCACGGCCCTAGTACTCAGGCTAGGGGGACAGCAGCAGCCACCATAGACAGACCCCGAGGGAGTCACGGATGACAATTTGAGTGATGTGCTAGCCTCTGGCTGAGGCAGGTGGCCTCTCCTCATGCTCTCCAGGGAGAACACCACCTCAGAACCTGGGAAGGGTTAACCCCTTGGGAGACTGGCGTGACTGCCTGATGACCATGACTCCAAGTTCAGATGGGATGAACGGGCTTCCTCATCCCGACCTTGGCTTGTCTCCCGTGGGGCTGGGTTCCAAAAGTCTGCTTTTCCCTCCTCAGATCTGCCTCCAGCTGAGCCAGGGTATCCTGTTCTCCCAGAATTCCATACTGTATCCCTTCTGCACTCAGTGGGGGCTTTAAAAAAACAAAATAAAACAACAACAACAACAAGAAGAAGACAGGGTCTATATAGCCTAGGCTGGCCTCAAACTCCATATGAAGGCAAGAGTAGTTTTTTTGTGTGTTTTTATTTTATTTTTTAATTATTTTTTTTTTTAGGCAGGGTCTTTCTATAATCCTGGCTGTCCTGGAATCTACTATGTAGGCCACGCTGGTCTGGAACTCACAAGGATCCACTGGCCTCTGCCTCCTAAGTGCTGCGATTCCAGGTGTGTGCCACCATACCCAGTTTTATGGGATACTGGGGGGTGAGTTCAGGGCTTTGTGCATGCTAGGCAAGAACTCCCAACCAACTACATCCTTAATCTCTCACAGGGGACTCTCGGGGAGTCTGTGAACCGAGACTCAGGAAAAGCCAAGCCAAACTCTAACAATAGCCACCTCCCTGTACCTCCTAACACACGGTCTGCAGAAGACCTAGATGGGTGTGCTGTCCACAGATCCAACAGGAAGTACCATGGACATGACATCATCAGGGTCTGGCTTCTCCTGAGTGGCTGGTGGATGGTGAGGGTGACAATCCCCAGATGAGGAGGGAACTGAAGTGACTTCTCAGAGAGACACAACTGACTGACTTCATGACTTTCTAACTGTCCTCAGCACTGTCCACTGGGCACTTAGTGAGCTGGGGTCTCCTTCCCACACAGGGATTATGGCCACCTGCATCCCACCTGTGAGATCTTGGGCCCTTCTGCTACTTCTCTGTAGTAGGGATCATCTCCCTCTTCCAGGCTTGCTCTCCTGTAAAGGGGATGAGATCTGGGATGGAGAGCCAGGCTACTCCCCACTACAGACACAGAGCCCAGCAGAATTCCCAGTCCCCTGCCCTGCCCGCCTCTGCTGGGCCCAGAGCCACTTCCTCCGAACGGCTGGGCATGGAGAGGCTTCCTGAGGACTCATGCTCAAGTTCAACGGGGAGAGGATGAGGAGGACCCGCTATCAGGAGAGTAGGAGCTTCCATTGCGCCCAAAGTCCTCAGGCAGAAGTCAGGAGTGGTGACATACAACTACAATCCCAGACCTTAGGGTGGAAAGGCAGATGGGTTACCAGCTGAGAGCTAGCCTCGACTACCAGGGACACTTGCCTCAAAAACAAACAAACAAACAAACAAACAAACAAACAGGAGGGGTGAATGGGGATGGGGATGTAACTCAGTTGGTAGAGTGCTTGCCTAGCATGTGGGAAACCCTGGGTTCCAACCCTAGCACTCCATAAACAGGGCATGGTGACACATATCTGTAATCCTAGCACTGGGGAGGTAGAGTCAGGAGCATCAGAAGTTCAATATCATCCTTGCTATGTGGTGAATTTAAGGCCAGTCTGAACTACATAAAACTCTGTCTCCAAAAAATAAATAAATAAATCAAGAGTTGGCAAGATGGCTCTACAATTATGAGCACTCCCTGCAGGGGTTCGGTTTCCAACACCTACAGGGTGGCTCCATCTCATCTGTAACCTCCAGTTCCACAGCATCGAACCCCCTCTTTTGGCCTCCACTGGCCAGAGAAAAAAATCCCAGGAAGCAAGCCAGGCCCTTCTTGCTCAGGGAAGTTCTGGGTCACAGAGCGTGCTTACCAAGTGGCCTGCCCTTCAGCTGATCTGCTCTTCTAAGCCCTGCTTTGCTTTCTAGGTCCCAAGCACACAAGGAGTCCTTCCTGGTGCCTAACTGCCTATTTCCAGCCTATCTACGTGTGTGCGTGTGACTACATGCACTTGAGAGAGCATGCACACACACACACACACACGCACACACACACGCACACACACACGCACACACACACACACACACTGACCCTAAAGCCCACATTGTTTGTGACTTCCCATGCATTTTTTCAGTCTCCCCTGCCCAGGGTCTTCAGCTCTCTTCTCCACTATTTTATCAGGCACAGTCCATTTGTCTAATGTTTGCATCACTGGGTCCGTTTATGTCCTATGCAAATGCTTGTACGGTGCAGACTCAGTAGAAAAACTCGTGGGATACATGCAGGCAAGGGAAAAATTCTCATCTGCCTGTGGTCACACAGCCATAGAACTGGAATCCCAACCAACCAGTGGAATGGCAATCCCCCTGCCTCAGACTATGCTGGCTTTAAGAGATGCCTCAGCCACTGCTGCTCTGCTTATCACGTCGCCCAGGCCCTGGCACAACACTCAGCCTCAAATTAAGTTTACTGAGCACCAAGCTGACCTACTACAACAGAAGGCGGGTGCCCAGTCTACACCATGAGCTCACCAACTGCCTGACTCCAGTGCTCAGTATGAAAGAGACTGGTGGTCAGACAACAAGGGAACTTACCAAAACAGGAGTGGCCTTAAAGAACACCCAATGCCAGACTTCCGTTAAGACCCACCACATTCATCTCCCGGGGCTTTGCTTCCACTCATAGCTGGACCAGGATGGAAGCAGGGGTGGGGTAGGTACGGTGGTCATGGGAAAGAGCCCAAACAAAAGATTTGGGGGTCAGGACCCTACAGGCGGGGACCGTGAGTGGGACTCACCCCTACAGATGCCATCTAGCCATAGACTGGGGGTGGGTGGAGTCAGGCTCAGGTTGTGGGGGTGAGGGAGTACCCACACCACCCCTCTCCCAGCTAGGGGGTCTCCCTGACCCAGCTGAGGGGCTAGATTTCTTCAAGGAGAAAGGAGAAAATATGGTTGGGACCCAGAGTACAGGCTCTGGGATCTCTCCACACCCCCAACACAGCTGTTCGGAAACCGTATCCGTCCCTTTCAAGCACTTGCTGAATGAAGGAAGACTCCCTGGAGCTATTAGGGTAGTTACCAGTCCTCAGGGAACACGCCTTCCTTCCAGGGCCAGACAAGGTGGGGGTGGGGTTAGTGCAGATACAGAGAAATTAGCCCTGCTTTGCTTGGGGGTGACGGTACCACCTCCCCCCAGCAACACAAAGGCGTCCCATCCTCTCAGAAGAGCAGGTGCCCACAGCCCAAGCCTGCAAGCAGCAAGGCCATTGAAAGTTATAATTAGACTCCCTGGTCCTGGCTCGTGGGCAGTGCATAGCACAGGGATCAGGAGCCCCTGGCCTCAGAATGAGGACAGTCTGGGAGGGCAAAAAGCCACTCCTGGGCACAGTCTAGAGAGGCTCTGCTCGGCCTGACTGCCCCACAACAGCGATCAGGAGAGGGTGCCTTGCCACTGTATGTAGAGGCCAAAGTCCGACGGGCACAGAGCTCTGAACTGATAATGGGCCTCATCCCGGGTTGCCCCAACCCCTGAATCTTTGACCCAGCGGAGGAAACTGACTCAGCCGGGTCCGCAGAGGCGGTCGTGGGTTTAATCGCGGCTGAGATGGGCTGAGAGGCTCTAGCTGGGTCTGGAAGGGAGATCAGAAGCCTGGACCTGCCCACCAAACCCGCTGCGGGAAGACCCTGTTCAACAGGGACAACTGAGAAGTACAAGGACTGTAGCTGGCCCGGGAGTCAAGACCTCGGAATTTCAGGGCCTAGGTGCAGGGACGCCGGGGCAGATAGGACAGTTGCAGGATGTGGTGTGAGACGGGGTGAAGCCACCTTCCTTCCTAGATTCAAACAGCTGTGAGTTCTTGGCGTCCAAGAGGTTAGTTCCCTACGCCGCTTCTCTCAGCCCCGCAGCCTTTGAGAAGGGGTCAAGGCAGAGGTATTGGCAGCTGGGGCTAGGGAAAGGAGCACGGAGAACTCCGGAGGCTCAAGTCAGTTTCTGCCTAAACTTCTCTCAGGCCATCAGGACCGGGAGAAAAAACGTCTGGGTTGTAGTCTCCGGAGGGGAACTTCGGGGCACCCCTGCGCGCCCACCTCAGACGCCAGTCACCCTGACTCAGATGCCCCACCCCCACCGTCCGTCTCCGGGTGGCTCAGCCCCCGCCTCCTGCGCGCAGCCTCTGCGCCCTTCCTCTTCTTCCCCAGGGCACTCTAACTCTGATCCTTCTAGCTTTCCAAATCCCGAGGTTCCCAGCCGAGATGAGCGTCCCGGCCAAGAGCCCCGGGAGAGCGGAGAGGACCCAACTGGGGACCGAGGGGATCTGAGAGGTGCCGAGAGCGCGGGCTGTTGAGGCAAGAGAGGATGGAGCGGGACCGGGCGCTCACAGACCAGCTCTGGCTCCCGCTCTGAGGGTCCCTTTCAGTAGCTCGGTTCTGCGACGACGCGCAGGCTTACCTCCTGGTAAGTCTCGTCGCTGGGGCTGAAGGTGCTGTCCACCCGCTGCAGGCGCAGGCCGAGGTGCGGGACGCTGTGCAGCCACACGACCCACCAGGGCGCGATGTACTCCACGCGCGCCGCCGGCATGGCTTGGACAAGCTGTAGCTGGTCCGCTGCCACTGCCACGGCGCTTCCACCACCCGGCTCAGGACACCATCGAGCCCCGCCCCGCCCTGGCCCCGCCCCATGTCAGGCCCTAGGCGAGGACACGCCCCTCCCTGCACAAGGCTCTTACTCCACCCCACCTAGGCCCTGGCCCACCTCTCCTCCAAGACCCCTTTCTGAACACACCCACCCGCTCCAGAAATTAGGCCCCAAAGCGTCCACTGATCCGATAGGCGAAAAGATGGAAGGTATGAAGAAGTGAACTTCAGTCTCTAAACTGTGACACCTTGCTATCATATCAAGATTGTGGACATTTGATGGTGCATGCCTTAGGATGGGAAGGCAAAAAGACCGTGGGTTCAAAGGTCATGCTCAGGTCGGTAGTGAGTTGGAGGGCAGCCTGGGCTATGTGAGACCTAGCTTAAAAAAAAAAATAAAGAAAAAAGAAAAAGAAAAGGAAAGGAAAAAGACCATAAAGTGGCCAGTGGATACATAATTAGTAATCTTGGCCTAGGAGACTGGGCTAGCCCTTAATACATCCTTCTATTTCTATTTATTTTTCACTATGTAGTGCTGGCTGCTCTGGAACTCATTATGTTGACCAGGCTGGCCTTGAACTCACAGTAATCAAATGCTTCTGCCTCCCTGGTGCTGGGATGAAAGGTGTGTGCCACCCACACCCAGCTTGTTTATTTCAGTGTTGGGGTTAGAACCCAGGGCCTTGGGCATGCTAAGCAAGGGCTCTATTATTGAGTCCCTTTAAATTTGCTTAAATCTGTAGGGAAGGAAAGGACAGGGTTGGGGAGGGCTTTTGAGGTCCCAGAGAGGCTTGGGCAGAAGGGACACTGGAAGGGAGGGCCACCTATGTGCCTGACTAGTGACAGAGCAGACTTCGTGGCTGCACTCTGTGGATGTGGATGGCAGCACACCCGCTCATGTGCCAGGTTAGAGGGTATTTGGGGCAAAGTAAAACAGGGTGGGTCAACACAGGGCAGTCTCGGTCAGCAGAGCCCCGCCCATCACGGCTCTGTCCTTTGGTTAGAATTAAGGGCCATAGCAAGCGCTGGTATGGCCAGTGCAAGGATTTGAGGCAGGTGGTGGGCAGGTAAGGGCCAGTGGACACCCTGTGAGGTGACCAAGAGGTCAAGTCAGGGTCAGGCTTGGTTGGGAACAGTGCTGGGTAGTCAGCTGGAGGGCACTTGCTGTAGGCAGAAAGGAGACCCCAGAGGGGCCAGGGGAATTATTTAGTTTCTAGCCCGGAGAATCCCCCAGGTGCTGGTGGTGCCCTGAAAATGGTAAGGAACACATGTATTGCTGGGTGGGAGGACAGATGCCCTTGCTCCATCGAAGAACCTTGCCAGAAGTGAGTCCTGCTCTGCCCGGCCACTGGACCTCTCCTCACCATCAGGTCCATTCTGTAGTTGAACCTGGCTGCTACCATCTCGACAGCTAAGGCTCAAGGGAACCCTTGTTCTCACAGGGATGTCTCACCGTTCAACACTGACTAGGGATCCTCCCTCTCCTAGGGCACCTAGTGATGAGTAAGACCCAAGTTTCCCGTCTTTACAGCGTTCAGTAGGGAGTTTTAAACCTCTTCATCATAAACACGCCCAGTGTTTCAGTCCTACATTGGCATATTTTTTCCGGTTGGGGGGGGTGAGGGGAGTTTGGGGATGCCTCCTGAGGGGACAGTGAGAAGAGGTGATGAGTGAGGGGAGTTGTTGGACGACGTTTCCAGTGGATTCTGAGTGGCAGAAAGGAATCCAGACTGGGAAACCTGGAGTGCGGAGAATGGCAGGGCAGGCTGGGTAGCTGCAGGGCATGGAACAGCTGGGGTGCTTCCTGTGGAGCTGAGCGGCAGTCACCCAGCGAGATTCCTAGATCTACACCCAGGATTCGTCTTTTTCTTTCCATCTCCCCTCCCGCCCCCCACAGGGTTTCTCTGTGTAGCCCTCCCTGGTTGTCCCAGAATTCATATTGTAGACCAGGCTGGCCTCAAACTCAGAGATCTACCTGTGTCTGCCTCTCGAGTACCAGGATTAAAGGCACACACTACCACACCTGTCTCCCTTTTTCTATTAAGACAGGGTCTTCTTAGGTAGCCCAGGCTGGCCTTGAGCTTGTGGCAATCCTGTTTGTCTCCCAGGTACCGAGATCACAAGTGCATTCCGATGTGTGTAAATTATAGAGAAAAACAGCTGTCACAGTGACCCATGCCCATGTGCCTGAGATTGTAGCACTCAGAAGTGGAGGTGGAGGGTCACAGACTCAAGGCAGCCCTGTGGCGAGGGCCTCAGGAGAACACCCTTCTATCCTGTCCCTAATGAACAATAATGTACTAGGAAGGAGAGAAAGGGGAATGAATGGAGGGTGGACAGTGAGGCTGGTTGAAACAAGGGGCAAATTTATGTGCCCTCCGCCTCTGGATCTGATGTACCCCTTGTTGGCCGCCAAGCAGGAAGAGGCGTGTAGCAATTTCCCAGGGGCCCCCTTTACAGCCAAGAAACATAGCCTTAGTCAGAACCTCTGGAGGTGCTGCCCACCCAGTGTTCTGCGCACCTGTCCTCAGTGGCCCCAGGGTAATACTACTGTTCATGTCTCCAACTAGTCACTTTCAGTTTTGAACCTGGTGCAGTCTACACTGCAAAATCAAAGGGCTGAGCTTTCCCTCGGGCTATGGCATGGCCACCTGTGCGTAGCTCAGGACACCAAAGCCCACTGAGCATTCTAGCTGCTCCTTGTGTACTGACGCAGAGGTGAGAGGAAGCCAACCAGTAGTCAACCATGGCTAAGCTCAGATCCCCCTACGCAGACAAACACTAGCTGGGACCTCAGCAGTGGTTGAACCGTCACCTGAGGGCACAAAGGCATTATTCAGTCTCTGGAGCCAGCCTGGACCACAGAAGCACCCTACGTGACTCAGGCTTGCCAGGGTAGGAGGCAGTGCATGAAAAGGCGCCTTCAGAGGACCACAAGGCCAGACAAATCCTGTCAGTCTCCTAGGACCCAGGGTGAGCTTTTGAGAAACGTCTTGGAGACAAAAAAAAAGGCCAAAGCTGTAAACTTTCTTCAGAATCCGTAAACACCATGGGCTGTCTCCCATCCTGCCCACTCCTGGGATAAACAAAACCATCTTCTAAAACACTCACAGCTCACACAAAAAATGATCTCCTCCAGCAAGTAGATCACTTCTGGTTACAACACGCTTGTTAAAGTATTTAACAACCCTCAGCCTGCAGTACTCTACTTTCGAAGGGCAGAGAAGGAACCGTCAATCTTAGCACATTAAATTGGGTAGGCACTCCTTACACTCCTACAGTCCCAGCACCCAGGTGGAGGCAGGAGGATGGGATTCAAAGCCAGTCCGGGATACAGGAGCTCTTATCTCAAAAGACCCAAACCCATTTCTGTGGCTCATTCATTGTAGTAGGGTGCCACCTGGTGGTGGACCCAGTGTGGTTCACAGCCACTTTGCTGGACTGAAAATGGTTGGTATTAAGGCCAGGAACAGTTTAAGATGTCAATGTTAACTCTGCCCTATTTTTTTTAAAATCGTCTACTTACTAAAGAAATTTATATGTCATTTTGCTTGCATGAATGTCTGTGCACTGTGGACAATGCAATGCCCAGAGGCATCAGACCCCCACTTCTTCCCACTCCCAGGCTGTTCATGGTAAGCAGCCTCCACAGATGCTGTCCTGCATTCACCTCACCGACCCCCACACTTTCCTGACTTCACTTTTCCAAGACTCACAGGATGGAACACTTCTTTCTCTTATGGATATCCAGGGGATATTCCAAGGGCGGCTACATGGCTCAGCCTACAGTTACTTGCCAGAAGCTCACCCCCTCCCCCAATTTTCATCAGAAGGCAACCCACCCCCCAGAACACTTCCAATCATGGGAGTGTACACGGCTTCCCTCCATGAGACTTCCACCACAGCAGCATCACTTCCCATCTAAAGACCAAGGACACACAGGACTTTTCAGGGGTTTTAATGGTCAAAACAGAGAGGTCTGGTTCATTTCAGCTCCTTCACTGCCAAACCTGGGGGAAGAAAGAGATAGATGGTTGACATAAACAACCCCTCAGACCTAGCCCACTGCATTTCACAGGATCCAACAGAACCATGCCCCGGCACTGATCCCAAAGTGGCTCTCCTAACCTGGGGACCTGCCCACCTCCACCGCTGTCTTAGGCTTACTTACCAGGGGGCAGGGACTGTTTCAGCTTCTCAGCCTTCTCCTTGTCTGTGATGACCAGGGTGTAAAGATACCTGCTGCAGCGAACCTTGAACTTCACATTATCCTTGTTTTTCTTGATCTTGACAGCTGCCAAGGAGACCAGAGTTAAGGATGAAGCTGCGGGCCTGAAGAGATGGCTCAGCAGTTAAGAGCATTGGCTGCTCTTCCAGAGGACCTGAGTTCAATTCCCAGCAACCACATGGTGGCTCACAACTATCTACAATGAAAACTGGTGCCCTCTTCTGGCACGCAGGCATACATAATAAATAAAGAGCCACACAGATCAGGTCCCTTACATCCTTACAAGTGGTACAGAATGAATGATCACAACTGGGCAGTAGACACTGACAGCTGAGCAAGCTCCCACCTCCTCATTTTTTCCCCCGTCTTCAAATGCTGCATGTACTGGAAAACTATATTTTTCCTCTTACACACTTAATGGGTCTTGGGGCTTCCTCAATTCTTTCGTACATGCACATGAAACCCACATTTGGCACCCTAAACACAGCATCACAGAACACTCTACAATGACCTATGACAACCTTTTAAAGGGATAGTCTATAAAGGAAGGAAATGGGTTATCTGCTGGGATTAACAACTTTCCAGCCTTCCACTTCTAGAAACCAACTCTCTGCACAGGATACTGTGGACACACAGTGCCCCTTTCAGGACACTCTATTTCAGTATGCAGGGAAGCTTCTCCTAAATTTTTGTGGACCCTGGTTCTTAAAAAAAAAAAATCCTTGCAGGGTGGTGGTGGTGCTTAATCCCAGCACTCAGGAGGTAGAGGAAGGCAGATC